CAACTACTACACTTTGTCCTCCCTGACTCAATACTGCCTGGGTTGGTGGGGGGGTAAGAGGTGTGTGTCTACAAAAACACCCTGGAAGTCTATTGAGAATCTCCCTTTGGTCCTACTCTCCCTTCTTTGTCAGATTAACCTTGATAAATCTCCCCATTCTGTTCTCCCTGAGTACTTTAATCTTTCTGGGTATTTTAATCTCCCTGAGTACTTTAATCTCCCTGAGTATTTTAATCTCCCTGAGTACTTTATTATCCCTGGGTACTTAAATCGCCCTAGATACTTTGATCTTAACTGGGTACTTAAATCTTCAAGGATACTTTAATCTCCCTTATTTAAACTCCCTAATTTATTATCTCCCTTTGTGATGCTTGACGTTGCCACACAGCGAGCAACGCACCTGGATCACGTGAAGATTAGGCACCTCAGCTTATTTCACCTGGTGATTAAACACCCTAACCCTTACCTGATTTAACAGAACTAACCTAACCTAACCTAACCTAACCTAACCTAACCTAATCTCTGTTTGTAGTCAATGTTCACACAAACACTATCTGGCCTCCTTAGTTTATTATCCAAGAATATAATTATGCTCACTGTGTTGGTGTTGTGACGAGTTAACCGATGATTGACAACTGTCCTTTTACGAGAGAATATAAGAGGCTGTTACAGAGGTGCTCCTGGTGTCTGAGATACAGGGGTAAAGTCCACAGGAGCCGGACACTTGGTGCTGAGCAGAGCTAGATTACGGGTGTGTTGAGGACATGAGAAAGTCATCCAGCACGTGAGGAGTTATTTAATTAAAACGTGTAATTAGCCCTTATTTATATGAGTACAAACTGTTTATATGTTGACAGAGGCTATTATAAGGGTGGTGGCAGGGCGGGGTGGAGGCAAGGGTGGTGGCAGGGCAAGGTGGAGGCAGGGTAGAGTGGTGGCAGGGTGGTGAAAGGGCAGAGCAGTAGAGTGGAGGCAGGGTAGAGTGGTGGCAGGGTGGTGGTAAAGTAATGGCAGGGTAGAGTAGTGGCAGGATGGTGGCAGGGTAGTGTCAGGGTAGGGTGGTAGGGTGATGACAGGGGAGGGTGGTGGCAGGGTAGCGACAGATGTAGAGCTATTCAGAGTCACACATAACATTAATATTGGCCTTTGTTTGCTCTTTCGCCGCCACCACCGTGAGTTAGCGGCAGCCGTGGCGTATATTAGCCAACCGGGCGAACAAAGATTTCTATTATGCTAATTAAACGTTTACCTTCATCTCATTGGTGGATGAATGTTTCTCTCTTTCTCTCTCTGTCTGCCTGTCTGTCTATCTGGGTCTCTCTCACACACACCTTAAAATTCAGTCTCTTACCAATGCACTAGCCTAGAATTTATCTTATGTTTATATGTAGTATGTGGAGATTAGCCTCCCTCCCCACCCGGCTTATTTCATACATACACATACATACACACACACACACACACCCAACACTTACATACATGGCAATGACACAAATTCAGGAGCAAACAAACAAAGCCACAGACAGCATGCTTAAACACACGAGGTGAGGACACTGTCTCAACCTGATGAAATAATGTCTAGTAAAGTATAAGAACTTACTGTATGGTACTTAAAGACACCCCCCTTCCCTTCCCCACTTCCCCTCCCCCTTCTCCTTCCCTTTCCCCTCCCCCTTCTCCTTCCCCACCTCCCCTCCAGATTGAAACAAATGCAAAGCGAAAATAAATTAAGACACCATTTAACAGTTTTTAAAGAAATCAGTTGTCGAAGCTCATGAATTTATTGAAACGAGAACATCACATCAAGGTACAGAAATTCTATCTCAACTGGGTATTATACCTAGAGTGGCGACACAGACTTCTGAGAGAGTGTGTGTGGCAGAGATGGTGTAAAGTAGTGTGGTGTGTCACATGCAAATACCATAAGCATCGCTCTCGTGTAGGCAGGCAAGAGGGAGGGAGGAAGGTAGGAAACGCAGAGTAAACGAAAGTGAATATAAATTTGTTATTATTTTTCTAACATCATCATTATTTTTTTTTTGTCTATACTATTATTTTTATTCTGTCATTTTGTCTCTGTCTCACACACACACACTTATAAATGCAGTATGAGGCAGCTGTGATTAAAATGAAAAATGATAAAGCTCGTGGGTTTGATCAGCTTCCAGCAGAATTTATAAAACAAATGGACAAGAATGAGAAAACATAGTTGACTAAAATATGTAATTCTAATTATACTTCAAATGAAACCTTCTCAGTGATTTAAATAATAATAATATTTGTATTATTACCTAAAGAGCCAGGAGCCTTAGAGTGCACCCAGTTTAAAACAGTGACCTTAATAAGTCATTCCTGCAAAGTCTTATTAAACATAATTTTAAGTAGAATAAAGTTTAGAATAGAAAGTGAGTTATCTGAAAAGCACAGTGGATTTATACAGGGAGAGGGAACTAGAGAAGCTATAGATGGTATGAGAATTTTGGGTGAAAGGGCTTGAAGGGTCCAATGAAATATATATATTTGCTTTGTTGATTTTTAAAAAGCTTTTGATAAGGTAAAGAACAATAAACTTATAGAGATCTTGGAATGAAATATGCATTATTGAAGGAGATATTAGAATTATAAATAATCTATTATAAATAATCTTTACTAGCAACAGGAGGCTGCAGTGCTAGTAAATAATGAACCAACTAATTGGTTCACAGTTAGACAGGGAGTAAGACAAGACTGTATTGTATCCCGAAGTCGTTAACAGATTAGTGGGCAAAGGTATAAAAAATATGGTACAAGAGTTAAAGCTGTAAAGACTAAAGTAACAGTTGGTTCCAAATTAGAAATACATCCTAAAATACAAATTATGGTTGGCAACAGGGGTCTTAAAGAAGCGGAAATTTTTGGGTGTACTTGGGAGGTAATAGTAGCTGTGATGGTAGATATATGGAATAAATAAAAATAAGAATAGGGTAAGAAAAAAATAGCATTTACTGATCTAAAATACCTAATGAAAAGGGATATTACCTTCAATTTAAAAAAAAAAGCAGCCACCTGAAAGAGGTTGGAGGCCTTTGAAATACGGTGTCATAGGCGAGGAAACCAAATGAAGAAGTACTAAGAGAAATACTTGAAATGTACAGAAAAGGAAAAATTAGCTACTTTGGTCACATAATTAGGGATGAGGGAATAATAACAGAAGTATTAATGGACAAAGTTGAAGGTAGGAGGGCCAGAGGAAGGCAGAGTCTGGGATGGATGAATGAAAAATTAAAAACTGGATCCTCAGAGTGATACAAAATCTTGGAGGATTGGTAAAAACAGTCTAAGAATGTTTAGAGTAGAGAAATGTGGTCGCCAACCCTCAGATATGCGGACGGTACTCTGATTAGATTGATTGACATGAACACACACACACACACACACACACGCGCATACTTACAGTCAAACTCATTCCCATTGTAAGTAAAGAGACCTTGGACACGCCATGAACTTAATGCAGAGAAACAAACGCACAAATACACTACTCATTTTCGCAGTAAATTATTAGCATAATACTTACTGACGACACAAAAAATATCAAATTACCCTTGACTTTCATATTACCGTGAGTCATTGTGTTGTGATGTATTGTAATGTATATTGTACTGTGATG